CTAAGAGGATGTCCAAGGAAGATGTATACAAAATGAAACCTAAATAGCAAGCACACCCTCGGTATCTTTGTAGGGATTTAAGAAATGCATGCCACTAAAGACCCTGTAAGACCTCACATCTCCATCAGATGATCAGATCTGCACAAGAGTGCACCACGGAAACAGGCTGTGGTTGGCACAGAACCCAGTAACAGGGCAGTACGCTCTACTGGCCAATCAGCTGAAGGTAGGAATTCTTCTCTAGTCTGTATGAAAGTCTTTCCTAGATGGCAACACGCTAAGAGACAGACCCCAGAAGTTGCTTACGAATCTCTGAGGAAGCACAAACCTCCAGAGACAGAAGAAAGTTTTCGACACACACCTATGCTTCACAGAGCCAGACTGCCTCGCAAACCGCTGCCAGCGCTGCTTTAGCGAATGCGCTGCCAGCTACCTCTAGGGAAGGCTGACGGGAGATCCGGGGAACAAAACGAGCCTCATTCCATTTGCAATAAAGCTCACTGATGACTATGAATAACAGCAGGAGGAAAGCTGACCAGCTAGTCGGCACATTTATCATCCTAATGAGCAGATAATTCTTGGTGCATAACAGCAATCATCCTTAATCACACCAAAAGTTCCCTGCAGCTGAGTAAACTGCCTCAGCCACTGCCTAGCAGCAAACGAAAAACAGGGAAAAACAAAAGCATCCTTGACTAAACTCTCCTCCCAGTTTCTAGTTGACAGCAGTCCAAATGTATTTACTGAAGAATAGCTACTCTTTAAAGAAGAAACACTACAGTTGAGGTCATCATCATATATAAAGCAGATTTTTTCCCCCCACAGGCAACTGCATAGGAGAACAAAAATCGATTTCCTTCCCGCTTGATAACATTTCTCAAAGACAGGGAAGACAAGCAGCAAAAATCTACCTTAGAAACCTGATGGGTCCAATATGCATCAATGGACAACTTTATTGTAATTAGCACTCTTTCAGGAAAGATAACTACCTTCTCTTACCAGTTAAGAGAGAAAAAGGTTCTGTTTGAGTCAGCGATGAAGGCCTTTGGTCATTCTAGATGAGGTAAAGGAGGCTCAGCTTCTACCAAAAACACAGGTACCCTCCGTCCCATCAGCAAACATAGAGGGCACACCTCTCATCACCAACAGACCAGAAAAATCAGTGAGTGATTCATCACTCATCTTCTCTTTGGAGGAAGGAACCAGGAAGACTGGGCTCTCTGCCAATAAACATAGGACAAAGAAGAGTAACAGTAGTGTCTGCAAATCATACAGCAGTGCCATGTCTGCATGCAGCAATTAGTGATTACTGTCATTGAACTCAAGCTCTTTCAGCCCAGCACTGACAAACTATCTCCAGCAGACATTCTTTGATATCCAAAGCTTGCTAGAACCTACTAAAAGCATGGACAAGCTTAGTCCACATCTTCTTAAGCCTTTAAGGCAGACTTCCTTGCTGGTGTTCAATCTGCTCAAGCAGAAAAACAAGACAAGATGTATCCTGGGGACAGACTGTGGTTCAGGTACAACAGACGAGAAAGGCCAATGAACTACTAAAACTACCCTGGGAAAGGAAGAAAGTCAAAGATGGAAAAATTTGCATTGTTACATACCAGAGAATCAGATTTCATTCTGCTTTACATCCTCAAGCACTGAACAAAAGGGAGGGGGGAACAGCACAAAAGAATGCTCTCATACATTTTATGGAGTAAAATATGAAAACCAAACTTTGTTTCAAGTGACATTTCCCAGTGTCATGGCTTGATGCAGGGGGGAGGTTCTGGTGGCAGGAGAGGGGCTTTGCTCCCTGTGACCTCCTTGGTTTTGGAACCGAGTTAGACCTGGTTCTGGCCACTAGATCGGACTCCCATCCCCCTCGGGGTTGAGCCAATTGGCGCCTCTGCGAATTGCCCTATTTAAGTCAGGACAAAGGAACCGGAAAAGGTGCTTTGCCCAGGAGCAAGGAGAGAAGGGAAGAGGGCACTGCCCCCGCTCCCTGGCTCCCAGCCGGGCAGCTGCCTGCGTCGGGCCGGCGCCGCCCACGGAGAATGGCGGGGGGGGGGGCCCGCGGGGGAACCCGGGGGGCCCCCCCCC